GCTACAGATATAAATCAGCAACGCTTCTAAATACAGTAAAACTAAAATGCATTTAGCATTTATCAAAGTATAGTCCACTGCATGTTCTAATTCGCCACCCATAAAACCCTAGAAACACCGTTTTCGACGGAAAACGTGCAGGGAGTAGGGATTAATGAGTGGGCCTACATAAGCTAGTGTTGCCGAATAATAAAGTGTTTAGTATCAAACGCGACCCATAATTATTTCAAAACTCACCACGATCTGCACGCTTGTCATTTGTATGTTCGTCAGTAGCTAACTATCTGACGTGCTTAGATGAAAATTGAACACTGATTGTCTGCCAGGTTTTTCAAGCAAACATTCTTTCCTTATTACGGCTGTGTATTATTTACACTTAAGTCCCACTAGTGTTTAAGCAGGGTCGATATTGCTTCAGAACACTTTAAACACGCATTTTATGGTTGCTGTTTCTGCTATATTTGGCTGCAGTTAATTTTCGAATTTGCAATATAACACCATCCATTCGCCCGTAATCTGCTCTGTACCAAATTTTCTGTTTTAATGTAACATACAAAAAAATGCATTTTTTACCTGGAAAGGTTAAGATAATTAACTTGGGTGTTCAGCTGGTTTAGTTGTTTCAAGTCTTTTGTTCGCCAGCCAGCGCTGTTGTAAAGTGACCTAAATTAAGAAAATTGCTTAGCAAAGTTTGTTTTTTAAAGGATGGTTTCCTTACTGCGCAATGGAACTAAAAACAATTAGTTGGCGTGCCCAGCGTTTTGCTTAATGGACTTTATTGTTTGTATGTGAGAGGAAGGGTGTTGCAAGTGAATGTGGGTATTAATTTCTCGCAAGGGGATGGTTACATTGTGTGTTTTTTCAAACTGGACATTAAATAATTGCTGTTTTTTATGAATTTAGATGATTCATTGGCCTAGGTTTTTAAAGGTCCATATAGGTAATCAGATTCTCAGAACATGGGAAAGGAACTAATTTAAGCAAAAGACTTTCTACTTCATGTTATTGGTTGGATAATTTTGCCCACTGCGTGGTGTTAAGGTAACATGCGCACCACAAAAAATTCGAGTATAACAAAAGCTAATGCGTGCCAATAAAACTAACAGCATCCGCTTGTGGAGGAAGTATAAAGGATCAATTTAAAATGCTTCAATAAAGGACGGTTAGAGGCGTTGATTTTACAAATGCTTTCTAGTGCAGAATCATTCGTTAGTTTAAAAATTGTTCATTTTGTTTGATGGAAAACCTGTTATGAAACCGAAATATAGTAAGTCTTACATTTTAAGTGTCCACCACATTAATTCAGAGGCATTTTCAAGCAGGCGGCCATCGAACATAAATCAGTTTCCAGTCTCAGAGTGGGGTTAACGTGGTTGTTTATGAAGAGTGGCAGACATTTCTCAGGGTATGCACTTTAAGCAAAGGCAATGTTCATATGTAGTTTGTTGGGTGGTTCCTCTAGAAATTTAGTATTTGCATCGTATTTGTTGGCCGTTTCTGATAAACTCTCTAAAGATGGATCCGCAGTTTCGAAACGTTGGGCGAATAAAACTCTTGTCAGAGCGAGT